ACTAAAAACAATTCTATTATAAAGAATTCTTTTCCTCTTATTTAAAAATTTATTATATCAATTTTATTAAGTAAAAAAAGTATATATTTTATGTACAGCATTTTCAAGATTTTTTTTTATATTTTTTATATCTAATTATTATTTTAATTGTTTAATTTATAATCAGATAAGACAAAATTGTTTTTGTGTTTTTTACATGATCTTCTTGTTAAATAATGGATTTGAGTAACGGCAGTTATCTACGGATGAAATAGTCATTATATTATAATATTTGAGTTTGTAATGTCACTTGGTTATATACCTCTAGAATATAATTGCCCTAAATTAATTGATTTATAAATAAGAACTTTGACGGGTGCTGCTTATAGCTAGAAATCGCACTAAAAGATTGTATAGAGAAAAAACGAGAGAAGATGCCAGATTTCCATGTAATCCTCCATCCTCCTCCTCTTGAAACTCAAAACCCTGCCTCCATCCAAAGGTTTTATTCTCTCTCTTTTCACTTTTCTTTTTCATTAGATTCATATTCATTTTCAAATTCATATAAATATGATAAGGATGCAGTTTTTTTTTTTCATTAGATTGATATTCATTATTAAATTCATATAAATATGATGAGAATTTGTTTTGTAGGGAGCAAAACTTTATTTCCTTGGCGCAATTCAATGAGGCCTTTAGTTTGTGCATTCCGGTGCTTTTGGCTTTTTTATGTTGAAGGACAAGTTGGCATGGATTGTTACGTGGCAGTTGAGTCATATTAAAAGGTTGTTAAACGTCAGAGTGTGTTAGTGTAATTAGTTAAGAATCAGAAATGCATGTGTAAACAGTGCATGCGTTTGTATATAAGCTATACAGTGTCACGTGAATAAAAAAAAAAAAAACTGAATTCTTCTTCTCTTCAAGTTATTCAATTTCTTCTTCTCTCAAATCTTAACATTTTACAATTGAATCCTCCTCCTCAATCGAAAATTCATCCTACAAATTTGTACTCTTTTTCTTTTATAGTGGCCACACTCATTTACTATCTCTCTTCTACTGCTTCCACCAAGCTTAATATTTCTCACCCCACAAAGTCTCAACTCTTTGGCGTAGTTGCTTTCATATCGGGATCTCTTGCTTCAATCTTATTGATCTCTAATGTTGTCTCGTACTTGACTGAGTTAATAATTCTTATTTTATGGGCTTTCTTGTCTATTTTGCTTGTTCATCAACATGTCCCATTAAACAAGAAGGAAACGTACGAAAAGCTTGGAGGAAAGATGAAGAACATTAAGGAGGTGTTTGTCTAAGCTTTTAAGTTGGTCAAACTAGCTTATTATTAGTATATGCCCTAGAAACCAATCGTGTCGTCAGTTCCAAGACATTATGTTTTGTATATATATGTTAATGTATATATTTTGTATATAAATTTTATCTTATCAATAGAAGAAAGTATTCTTATTTCACATATAGTTTATTTCTTCATTTATATATATGTATTACATATGAAATGCCTGGATGATATAGGGTGTGTTTGGTTCATTATTTTGGATAGGATTTTGAGAATAATTTTGGATAGTTGGATAGGGGAGTATTACGAGGTAAAATTTAAAAATTTATAAAAAAAACCCCAAGGTTTGCTAATTTAATTAAACACCCCTAATATGTAAAATGACAAAAACACCCCCACCAACCGCAGTGCCAGATTTCGAAACCACTGCCGGAATCTGGCTGAAAAATTGCGTTACGACACAGACCGGTCGGATTTGTGTCGTAACGCATCGATATGGTCGGAAAATGTTAGATCTACGGCTAAATGTGGTCGTTGATGGCCGCAGAGGTCTATCTTCGGCCAAAGATATGGCAGTCGTTTTCGGTCAACGATGGCCAAAAAAAATTAGTTGATGAGCGCATAAGCTAGCCCGAACACCCTAATTACCAAAAAAAAAATTTGGTCACACATTGCCACTGTTTGAGGTATTAGAAATACCCTAGATAGATGTAACTTAAAATGAAATAGAATATGATTATTACACCACCAGCTTTAGGCTAGTATAAATACCCTTTTTTCTTACTCTTAAGCCTTATACAATCTATATCCAACGTAACACCATTATCTATTCTATTACTTTTCATCCCCAACCAACCAATTTGAAGAATAAACTCAACTGGTTTACTCAATAATGTTTTTATAAAATATTGTTTTTGTTACTTTTTCTTCAGTAAGAGACAAGAATCATTACCGACTTACCCTCCAACACTGAAGGTTCAATATTGGCGCTGATGTTGGATTTTGAAGTGTCAGCATCATTGATTGTTTTATTAAAGACAAAATAAGTGACTGAATTGACTATATTTGTGATAATATTAATATATTATTATGCTGGTTTCGCTTCACTATCAACGCGAAAATCAAGTGGTAGTTTTCCTTTTTTTTTTTTTTATTCTTTAAATTGATACAAAATCAAACAATTCAAACGAAGCTTATATTATTAATTCAAAGCTTTAACAAATCCACAATGGGTCTAACTTGTTTTGTGTAGATCCTATTATTTATAAAAAAGAAAAAAAAATATTAAAGAATCATCGAGTCTCTTGTGATAGTTTTTCTCTCATTTGCGTTTAAGGAATCTTATTTTTTTTTTACTATAATATTTTTTTATAAAATCATTACTTTATTCATAACCCCCCAGCTGCAGGATTGCCTATAAATAGCTCATGCATAACCTGTGCCAGTGCCTCTATAATAATAAGAAGATAGAATCGTATTAAAGTTGTATATTCCTAGAAATATTTATAGTATAAAGTTTGTTTTAACTAAAATTGTTGGCATTGTCATGGACATTCACTTTTCTTTTGTTGATTATGTATTGTTTGTTATCACATTGTTGACGCTTGATTTTGGACGCCACCCACTCGCACGTGCAAAGTGCTAAAAGATCCTTAGAAATTACACGTGATGGATCTATGAAATTTGAATATGGTGTCTAAGTTATATACGTTGCAGAAACATAATAAAGTTGGCAAGTGGGTTTTTATAGTGGTTTCAGTGTTTAAAAGTGAATCTTACGTCCACTGTTATTTTATTATTCTCTAGCTATTTCTATGGTATTGCCCATAAGGCATACAAAGATGGAGAAAAGCTTTGATTACAGAAGAAATAATTAAATGAGCTCAAATCTATGCCTAACTCTCATCTGTTCACCTCCCCCTTTTTTTGTGAAGAGAAGTACCAATTTATACATCTTTGAGGTCAATGTATGAATGTTTTGCAGTTTCCTTAACCCATGGAAGACACTCATTCGTTCATCTCTTGAAAGGAGATAGGTTGGTATGAATATCTTTGAGGAGGTATGAGCTTGGCACTATACGAAAAGAGCATTTATTGAGCTGACATAATCATGACTTTTTAGACATACACATAAAAAATGGATATTCAGTTTATATATTTATATAAATCTTATATTAAGATTGTTTCCATCTAGAGCATCACTCTACATTCTCATTCTGATTTGCTTATGACCCTTTTTGTGTACATGATCCTGAGGTTTGGAAATTTTCTTCGAAACTTCAAGTAGCAAGAGTATTCTAAATTTTGCTGTTTTTCATCAAAGCTTGGATGCTTTGTGTACATGGCTCACACTGAGTTCATACTGTTAAAAGTTTTGCAGCAATAGCATTAATTTAAACATCTTTTATACCCAGTTATCTACTCTGAGGTCCTTGGAAGATCTGGATTCTTTGCTTTTCCTGCATCAATCAATGAAGGAAATTTCTCTGAAATCAATGAAACGATTGGAACTGCTCTCAAACAAACAAAAATATTTAAAGTTTTCTATCTTAGCCATTGAATACCTATACTTGTCTAAATAAACTTCAGTTTTCTTGATGTTCTCTCTCTTTATTGCCTCTTCCAACTGTTCCTTCCGAAGTGTTAAATAAAGGAAAAGCTATGGCTGATGCTTATAGACGTGCAAATGAAGAGGAAGAAGCGGAATTTTGGACCTGAAATTAAAGAGTTGGAGTAATACTGTAAATTTATTCATATTTGGGTGACATTTGAGTCTCTTATAATTTTTGTGGGGATTGATAGTGGAAGGGTTAAGTTTTGCATTTATTCATATGGTATGAATCTGAACTCAACTGGAAACATTTGACCATCAACTAAATTTAATAGGCTAACATTGTCTCTTTATAAACCATTAGCTGAAATAAACCCCACTGCACTGAAAATGCTAAAGCAAACAAAAATTTTCCATCATTTTATCTTTTAGCTGTTGAAGATGCGGTTCAAACTAGGTATGCTAGCTGCACGTAACCTCCCCATACTCATTGAACATTCCTACATAAAAAAGATAAATAAGTAATCACTGCTTTTACTTCCACACACCACTTCCCAAAAGTTTAATAATCGCTCTTGCTCAAAATAAACGAAACTTCTGTTGCATGAAAACTAATTCATTAATAATACACACAAGCATGCTACATTGCGATATACAATTTCGACCGCTTCTTCATTGATGTTACAAGACTAGAAGACCCCTGTTGCAACACAAATTAAGAAACAATGTAAATGGTAACAGGATCATGCAATTCATAAATGCAATGAAAAAAACAAAAATTGAGCACCGATTAAGAATAATGAACACATGAATGAATCTTAATAATGACTGAAATAAAGCTGAAGTAAAATAATGCACATAAAATAAATATGACACCGATAGTAGATAATTGAGAACAAATCAGGTCACTGCTGTTCCATATGAATAATGGATTAGAGAGAGCGCCCCAGAAAGAAACTAGTCTAGATCTCTCTAATTCCAGCAATTTGATAGAACACAAATCCATCAGAAAGTGGATCCACAATTATCCCTTCAATGAACTTTATGGCAAAGTAACTGACGGTAAACGAGTAAAAAAATCAACCTTCAACAAAGCCACAAAACAAAAGCCACAAAGTAGTCTATTGCAAAGCAGGTCAAAAAATAATGATTTCGACTAAAGAAGGCAATTTTGCATACCTGAAGAAACAGACTTGTTAATTTTGGACAAGAAAGCTTCAACGTTTCCACGAATAACAGTTTGCTGAATAACATAAAATATTGTGCACAATAAGCATATAAATGTTAAGCTAAACCAAGAAAAAGGGAAATAGATACCTCAATTGAGAAATCACAAAGTGATACAAGCCACCTTCACAATCCTGACACCATGAAAATTAGAATAAAGTCAACATAATTCAATTGAAAGAGGACATTGGATCCGTATTGGGAGACTCACCCTTTCCTAGAAAGAGCCGCGATAGAGGTAGTGGCAGAATTTCGGAGAACCCACGGTGGTCCCTCGGTTCACTTCTCTCTTTTGGTTCCTCCGTTAGATTTAGAAGCTTTGAAATGATAGGCCGGACCCTGGTTTTGGTGATTTGGATTAGAGTTTGGTTTGTCGCCGATGAGAAGAGAGCATGGAGAAGAAGAACTAGAGAATTTGAAATCTGAATATATAAAGTAAATAGAATGGAGAAGAAAACATAGAAAATTAGAATAAATAAATAATTATTCATTGATTAGTGGCATTGCTCAATTCTATAATAATCAATTAAGGTATGATGTAAAACTTTTGATGAAGTTTCGGAAATATCATAATTTTTATTAAAAATAAATAATTCAAGATTTGGCACGGAATGAAGATATAATTATCTATCTTATACACATTTCAAATCCGTTCTCCATGCAACAAAAAGACAACCCAACACCATCTTCCATCCTACAAAATCATTTTCTATCCAGATTCTCAATCATTAGAGTGGTAAAAAAACTTGCTCTTTCTCACTTTCTGTCTGTAAATCAGCGTCAATGACATCACTGCCCGGTCTCTTTGCCGATAAATCGGAAGGGCCAGCTTCAGCCCCAGCCCCAGGTGCAGGGTGCAGGTCCAGCACGGCTTGGTCGTGAAGGGACTGGCCAAGATGCATGACTTCTTGATTAAGTGCAGGCAAGGAAATCTTTCATTCCCTGGGTAGAGCCTCCGGAATTGCATTCTTTAGCTATAATTTTTGCCTCAACTTTCTTTTGACAGGGCTCCAAGCTCCTTTATTTGCTTCTCTGTCTGTAGACAACCGAATCTGCCTGATAATTCCACCTTTTTTGAAATTTCATTTGCTATAAACACTGGATAAAAATCATCAAATAGGTCAAATTGATTGCATTCAAAGCTCTTTTGATCAACCTAAAAAGTGCTTGAAGTATAGCTAGCTCTCAGTTCTATATGCAACCTAAATCTGGTAACAAACAGACAAATATTTTAAAAAAAAAAAAAAAGCATGAATCCCCATTAACAGTAATACCATTTATCATAAAGTTCTTAAGTGAATTATTATAAACCTAAATCCTGCAGTACTTCCGAACATAGTCTGAAGCAGCCTATGGTCATAACTTGAGCAATTTTGGAATTCAATTAGCTAGTTAGAATCAACTCACCTCATCACTGGAAAGATGCTAGCACCTGTAATCGTGATGTCTTGCTTCTTCCCTGTACCGCTGTCACAGCGGTGACAGAGAGAATGCCATTGGCATCAATGTCAAATTTGACTTCAATTTGAGAAACCATCTAGCCTGAAGCTGCCGAGAGATTAAATGCCCAACAAACTCTCACATTAATCTCCACACTGGTTTGCCGATGGGCAGCAGTTGAGAACAGTTCTATTCGAAGTGATGAGAATGTTTCATGGAAAGATGTCCATAAAATATAGACATTTAAATTTTTTTTTTTTTAATTTTTATGTACTGAAGACGTCTTTCTTCAAATATATTGTACTAATGACGAAAACGAGACAACACAGGAACAAAATATAATAGTAACAAATCAAACAGTTAAACAAAGAAAAATAATACACGCGATTTACCCTGGTTCACCTAATGTGGTTATGTCCGCTGAGTCATATTTATTGCATATCCTCACCTCTCTCGTACAATGAATGAATTGCTTTCACGCCCATAACAGAAACAATAGATTATATACTAGGTTTACTCACACGAAAATTGACATTTTACAACCAATTTTTTAGCACCTAACCAAATTAGTTAAAAAGCTACATTTACCAACTAAATTGACATTAGTCGAGCAAAGGAATTAAATTTTGGGGCCCACATGTTCCAACATTTGGCATCTAAAGTTAATTTTTTGCGACTATTTTGTTAGTCCCAGAACCGATTGCTTTAGTTACTAATAAATTTAGTTGCAATTTTTTCCGGGTGATTTTTCCCTCCAAAATTTGATAATTTGCATCTAAAATATGGCTTTTTGATTCTACATTTTTTGTTACAAAAAAACATTTTTTTGCAACTACAATTTAGTTGCTAAATTAGTTGCGAATAATTAGGGATTTATTAGTAACTATTATGATTAGTTTAAGAAAAATGAAATTACCAAAATATCCCATTTTGGATAGTAATTACGGCCCCAAAGTATATACAGCAACTAAATTTGATTTAGTTGCTAATTTAACTTAAAAAATTCATATTCCCCCCAAAATTATTTGTTCCCGCCGGACCTCAATTATGGGCAACTAACACTAATTCTTTACTGACTAAATTTTAGTTGCAAATTGACTTATTTCCATATAGAATTATATTTCAAAATATCCCATATTGGACAGTATCAAGGCCCCAAAGTATATACAGAGGTTGATTTTACTCATTTTTTTTGTTTAGGGGTCAAATGATATTATTTAGGGTCTACCTTGTCACTTTCTTCATGTAGGTTTTACTATACCCAATTATCCAAAAGCCCCAAACTAATTTTACCCTAAACCCTAATTGATCACTCCGTTCGCATCTTCCTCCATTTTTTTCCCTGAAATCTGGACTTCTCCCTTGTCCTTGTCAGTTCTGCACTGTCGTCCATCGAACCTCATCTTTCTCAATCTTTTCACGGCCAGCTTCTGACCCTAAACGCTCTTACAACAATGTTCTTATTAAACGACGACGTCAGAAGCGTTCGTTCTTCTTAACATTGCAGTTACAGTTGCACTCTAAAATCTCATTCCAATGCAAATACAAAGTCTTGATTAATTAGGAGAAAAACTGTTATCAAAGAAACACAACCACAATCAGAAATGTGATTCGATCGCAACTGCTCCACCGCCTAGATTCGCCACTAACCTCTCTTTGAACCATGTTAACGCTCATCCTGTTTGGTTTAAATCCAATCTCTTTCTCTCCCCAACCTTTGACTCCGAATCCTATATCTTGGAGCTCCGAAATTTTGTTCCCTTCGAGACACTCCGATCTAAGCTACATCTCATTTATCTTCCCTCAACCATGAACTTATTGATTTAATTGACCGGGACTGTGCTGATTTCGTTAACTTGAACACCAGCTCGTCGATGTCGACGCGGCTGCTTTCTAGCTACTAACCCCGTCAAGGACCCTTCCGGCCAAGCACATCCATCAACGGAGGTCGAATTCCAGCAGCGAATGAGAAGAGGGGTTGTAGTCGAAAGAGGAATTCGTACGACAAAACCTGGTACGATTTGCTTCTTCCATTTATTTTAGCAACTCCGGCAATGGACCTGCTTAGGAAACGCTATTGTCGATCTGCATTGGGCTCTTGGACTCCGGGAAGCAAGCAACACCCTTTCTCGATAAGTTCTGCACGATTTGTTTAGTTTAGAAGTCAGCCTGAACTTACTTTGAAGTCTTTGCTCAGCCTGAACATTCCTACCTTGCCTCGCGCTAGGGAATTATCCAGTGGCCAAGCTCACTTCACGCAACGCCATCCATCCAACGAGATGTGCTTCGGGAAATTGACCAGGCCCATTGTTGGAGTTGAGGAGAGAATCGAGGGTTTTAGAGTCTGTTGAAGGTTCTATTTTGCGTTGCAGAGTAGTTTAAAGAAAGATTGGAGGCTGCTGCGGCTAGGGAGGCTCTTGAACTGTTGCTTGACCCATTTCATTTGTTTCTAAGGTAATTCATTACTGCATTTTTAGACTGATTATTATTCGTTGAATTAAGTTATATTGATTGCGTTGTATATGTTTTTGATATAGCTAATTTCAGTTTTGGGTGTTGTACTTTTTGGCGACTAAGTGTATAAAGAGAAAGAAGCATGGATCTAGAAGTTACAAATTTGGGATTTGTGGAATAATATCTATGTTCACTTGAGTTCAATTTGATTGATAGCATCTAGCTTATATGCCTATTTTATTAATTAATCAGTTTTTCATGTGAGTTTCATGAATTGCATGAGATGTATGCTGTTAATTAGTAATCAGATAACATAAGTTTATTAAATCTGTTACGTGCTTCATGTTTTTGTTCTTTCATGGCTATGTTAGATTTTCCATTTCATAATGTACTGAATAGAATGAAGATTAGGTGGCAGTATTTTTTATTTTGCATTGTACTCACCATGTGCTTAGGGAAATGAGTCAAAGATGATTAAAAGTGGAAACATGAGTACTTATTTAAGTGGCCGTGCTCGGGTTAGTGTGTGTCTAATCAATTTTAATGCTGAATTTTAATTATTGGGGTTCAATTAAATAAGTGTTATGCTTCATCACCTCCGCCTCATGAAACCCCACATCATTAATTACAAAGCCCTGCTTCAATTTTTTCATTCTGACTTTACATTTGCACCATTTAGTTTTTATTCAAGGAAGTGGTGAGCAATTCAAATACTCTTGGAAACAAATGCTCCGACACCACCACTCTGCCTTCTGCATGGATCCATCTCAAAAGGGTAAGCTAGTTACTTTCTTTTTATTTTGTTATCGAGGATTAAACTGTTAAGGGGATGATGGCATGAAGTGTATTTTCATTTGGGGCAAAGATTATCACCACTATTATACTCAGTGTAAATGAAATTTTAGCACCCTTATGAAAATAAAACAATCATCAGGTGCTACTTTGCAAATGGTATTTCTACTTTAAAAGTCTTGGTGTAAGCTAGATTATCAAAGAGCTAAAAACAGTGTCATTATTATGTAAAATTCATGCTGCCTAGAGTGGTCACCACATTCAGATCTGCCATGGTGCAACCAGCCAAATGCACAATTGAGGTCATTGGTTCCTCATGATTTCCTTTGTTTCTCGTTTACATTCTGAGTCTGGATATTAAGGTGAACATATTCCTTTTGCTTACCAACTTATAGGCTTTCTCTATGAATTTTTGATAGTGCAAATACTATATTAATTTTCTTTGGGCTGCTGAATTTAAATATCTAGGTCACTGATAACCTACATTCAAAGTATATTATACTTTAGCTATAGATTTATATGAGGAGAACTTTAATCATTTACCTTGGATTTTATGAAGTTTTAGGAGAATATAGAAATAATGTTTCTACGGAGAGTTGACGTTTTTTATATGTTTTAATTAGGTACCAAAGAGAGACCTCCTACATTAATATTTAGAGTGTGGTATTTCTTTTCATATAAGAAAAATGACATATTCTTGATAAATTATAAAATTAAAACCTAATTATTTTGTTGTAAAAGGTTTTTGAGTCTTAAGTTGACTTGAAACTGAGGCTAACAAGACTGCGGGCACCACAGCTACTACACCCATAACAAAAGGTATAAGTTACGTAAATTGATATTTAATTAATTATTGATCGTTTAGACCCATTTACATTATCACTAGTACTATATTCTTTGTATGGATGAATGTGGTTTAATTGGGTTGAGTATTGTCTTTGTGATAGAACATATTTTGATACTGATTTTATGTTTTGTTTATGAACCTAGAAGTCACAAGGATAGAAGATAAACAGTTGGAGGACCAGCTAATCTTATTTGATCAACAAAAAGAGAAAATAAAAAGCCTTGAACACCAACAATTGGTCCTGTGAGATGATGAAGCGCCAACTATACCCTTGAACTAGGGAAATCTGATAAAGCTCCATCTCGACACACTTGCCTTCTCGAACTGATGAAGACTCATCCTCATCAGATACACTATTTCAAATACCGG